AAAAGGACTCAAGACATGACTATCAACTCTTGGACTAAAAAAGACTCTATGATGTTTCCCAAGCTAACATGACTCACAATCCAAAGATGAAAGATGACTCAAGGAAGGAACCAACAACTTCAGAGCCTTGAGAGAAGGATGACCAAGTCTGCAGTGCCATTGAAGAGGAGTAAGAGACGACTTAAAAGCTACTGGAGGGCCACCACCATCAAGGTAATACAATCCACTTGCCTCATGCCCTCCACCAATTTTCATCCCCGTCTTGAGATCCTGAAACACACAAGAAGAGGGATAAAAGGTTATGGAACAATTAGGTGACTTGGTTAATCTACTAACAAACATAAGGTTAAAGGGGAACTTGGGGACATATAAAACAGATGATAAAGACAAGGAGGAGAGATCAACATCACCAACACCACAGATGGGAGATGTTGAACCATTAGCAAGAATAACTGTTTGAGATGTGGAGGACTGAGAAAGAGAAGAAAATACGTTAGGAGTTCCAGACATATGGTCCGAGGCTCCGGAGTCAATGATCCAGTGTGAAGGTTTGGAAGCCAAGCAAGCCATACTTGAATGGGCAAGGGTAGCTGTGTTTTGCTGAGAAGATGTCTGAAGGAACTGCTCATATACTGCACGGGGTACACTCACCATCTCCTTCCTAGAAACACCAGTAGATGTGGAGGGGATCAGGTCAGTTTGCTGACTTTCAGTAGCTGTACCACTACCCTTAGTCACAGCATGGTTAGCCCAAGTGTTGGGTGGACCATGTAAATCATAGCAGAAATTAACTGTGTGCCCCTCTAATCCACAATATGTACACTTCCTAGGGGCATTACTTCTTCCTTTACCACGACCTCCCCCCGAGTCCCGACCTCACTCTGGCCACCAGCACGATTAAACATGGGACCACCACGGTTACCTGGAAGTCCACGACCACCACCTCCACCTCTATTTCCACGGCCTCCCCCTCTAGTCACCACAAAACCAGATCTGTCTAAGAGAGAATAATGCTCTATAGACTCAATAGATGTCCTCCTAAGATGGGCAAAAACTTCTTCAAGTGAGGGAAGAGTAGACCCCTCAGTATTTGTGCTCGGATGGGCTCATATTCAACCTTCAAACCCACCAGAAACCTTGTCACATCAAGTTGCTCATGCTGTTGTTGCTGAATCTGAACATCCTGTGTCAGAGGATGATACACATTGAGCTCATTTTGGATATTCCTCAGACTTGCATAATATTCCTCCAAGCTTTGACTACCTTGCTTCAGATTAAAGTACTCTTGGTACAACTGATACACTCTAGTTGTATTGTCTTGCCCTGAATACAGTTTCTTAGCATGATCCCAGATTTCTTTAGTTGTATCTAGGAACATAAAGTTCACGCTAATTTTTGGTTCCATGCTATTCCACAACCATGTCATTATTTGTGCATCTTCCTGTTC